ATATTGAATTGTTATGTGCAAAGTTAAAGACAAGAGAAGTTAGGAGGTGCAAAAAATGTACTAGGGGCCTCCCTACCGCCAGGACCCATGGAGGTAGGTTAGTACATCCTACCGCCACACACTTTGGCGGTAAGGGGCCTAACCCCCGCACGCCTGCCTCCTGTAACCAAAACTGCCACCAAATCAGGGGTAGGGTTGCACACCCTGCTGCCAGCCCTCATGGCGGTGAGACGCTACCGCCAAAGGACCTAGCGGTAGGGTGTGCAACCCTACCGCCATGGTTTGCGCACTCCTCATCACAGAACGGGTGCTAGATGCGGCGACCCTACCGCCGAGCCCTACGGCGGTAGGATGTCTTGCCCTACCGCCAGGGTCCCTAGCGGTAGGGTTTGGGCATTTATAAATTGTGCGGCCGCCCGCCCCACCCCACCCCCTTATCCCCCAACTCAGTCGCCCCCTTTCTTCTTCCTCTCGCCCCCTCTCTCATCTCCTCCACTCCCCCTCGGATGTTCTTCATTTCTTCACCGTTTCTGTGGATCGAGATGTCCCTGAATCGAGAAACGTAAGCTCCTCTCATTCCCCCAATTACTTTGAGTCAAATCACACCCCTTTTTTGTGAATGATTTATGTTCATGTTCATGTTAAAAATCATTATGAACCCTAGTTTAGTTGATATGATGAACCGAGGTGATTGCATCTAGATAATACAAGTTAGCTTATGATCCTTGGTGATGAATCATGATGAACCCTAATTGATATTTTTTGACCACATGATGAACCCTAATTCATATTTCCTAGGTTTAGATTTTTTGGAAGGTGATGAACCCTAATTGATATTTCTAGATAATACAAGTTAGGTTTAGAATTTTTGACCATATGATGAACCCTAGGTTTAGATTTTTGACCATATGATGAACCCTAGGTTTAGATTTTTTTTGGAGATGATGAAACTTAATTTGTGTGATACATCCATATGTTTAGGTACTCGTACTTCCCCGAGCACATCCCGTCTGCCATGCCGCTCCCGTACGTCTACGAGGCCTTCCTCGAGCTGCTGCAGCCGGTGGGGTCTGTCTCAGACGAGGTCCTAGAGGCGACGAGGGCAATGCGATGGCACGAGAGGGCAGAGCGGATCTTCGACGATGTCAAGTGTTGGTCGCAGAGTGTGAAGGAGTGGAAGGGAGTAATTGCAGAGATGGAGGCAGATCCAACTATCTCCCGTGTCTGCCGGGAAGAGACCATTGAAGCTGCCAAGCAGCACTCCAACTGGGAGCTGCGCAATTTGGGGCAGAGAATCTACTTCGAGAGCAATGCGGAGGAGAGAGCCAGGATGCCGCCCCAAGTGCATCGGGTTCGAGATCATCAACTGGGGAAGGGCGGAGGCGAAAACTCGAGCGGGAAAGGCAAGGTGGGAGTGCTTGAACGGTCGGATGCCGATCAGCGTTCCGCCTTCGCCTGAACCGGTGGATCCGCTGCCGTTTCTGTCACCACGGCCAGGCCTAACATACGAGGAGGTCTGAAGATTTCTGCCCGCTCTGAAGATTTTGTTGCACCGTTTGCGAAAGCTTTTTGCGAAACTACTTGCGTTAGTTGGGTTGTCAAACTATGTGGACAAGTTTGTTATTTGCTATTTGCTACTTATGAACTTATGTGTCAATTGTTCGATATTTGCTATGTGGAACCTTTATTAATATGTGAGCTCATATTTTGCTGTTTGTGAAACTATGTGAAACTTGTGATAAAACTTTACAAAAGAAACAATCACTAAAACTTTAAAAAACCCAAACCCACAAGTCCTACAGCCAAGCCATCTGGCGGTAGGATATCATAACCTACCGCCAAGGCCTGTGGCGGTAGGGTGTTGCGCTGGTCGTTAGGTAACGGCAATGGGGCGTCCATGCCACCGCCAAAACACCTAGCGGTAGGTTGCCTGACCCTACCGCTGACCCCTACGGCGGTAGCAGAAGGGTCAGATTTAAAAAAATAAATCAAACATAGGTCAGATTCCGAATTTGTTTGCCAAAAGGGTCAAAACATGAAATTTAGCCTCCCAAGGCTAGCGCAACCAACATGATGCCCGCACCCGGAGACAGGAATCGAGTCCACCGACATAGCAGGGGTGGCATCACGTCGAGGGAGCACCGCAAGAGGCACCGGATCTGGATGTTTCAGGCTGTCCGCGAACTCCGCTCGCGGCGGAAACCTGCAACCCACGGCCATGGCGGGCAGCAGAGTCGGCGTCAGCTGACGGCTCTGTCATGGGGGCACATGCAAGGGTAGACCTCCAAAGCGAGCAGGGTTGACTTATCGATCATCCGCGTCCAGCAGAATTCAAGCCCAACATTTTCCATCGCCGGCCGGCCGGAGGAACCGCAGCCCCCCGCAGCCTTGGGGAAGAGCAGCCGTCTATGCCGGCGGCAGGCTTCCAGAACCTAGCATAGACGGCTCAGGTTCGCTCCGACGTAATTGTCCACGGCTCAGCACAAAAAGTAGACAGCCTGGTCCACGGATGTTCGTCGACCCATACGTTCTGGGCCTGCACGGCTGCACTGTTCACTCCCATATAAGCGGCATATTCCTTTTTTTGCTGTCTCGTCTTTTTTTTTGCTGTCTCGATGCAGACGCAATGGCCGCTTTTTAGGAATCACAAGACATGAGTGAACGATAGCGATTTCGGGAGCAGTTGAGCTCTAGCACCGAATCACTGCTTCCCCAGCAAAGCTGTTAATTTATCCTGGTTCTCCTTACTGTTACAGGGATGTGAGGCATACGAGAGATTCATGACACCAATAATCTCCCCGAGTGTGAGACCTTGGTATCGTACCAAGCGTGCCGCATCTTCTAAGGAGAGGGAACGGTATAGAGAGGCTGCTTGTATCCGTGTTTTCATTTACAGTATATTTCATTGTTTTTTCGAATATTTTTGTTCTGAATCTACGCAACTGCCTACAGTGAAGAATATTTATGATCCATTAATTAGTCACTAAATTTGTCGAATAAAGGAATATTTCGGTCCTCACCAAAATATCAAATATTCATAAAATATGTCAGAACTATTTTTAAAAAGCATTAAATCAATCAATTTTTTTGACCAAATTTAAATCTGCTTCATTTTAGTCCGAAAATCCAAAGGCACATCCGTATTCTCTTCCCCTGTCCCAGATTCGCTAGAGATAATTTCATTATTCGCATTCTCTTCGATCATGTCATTTAATCCTCTTAGCTCTTTCTTGCCACTCCCATGGGCTCTAACAATCCTTCCGGCAGTGAAATTGGCCCTTTGATCTCACTTCCCTTATAAATTAGATCAATCTTTTTTTAGATCATATTCAGGACTTCAGGTGAGCCTACCCACACCTACCCACCCACACACACAAACACACTTTCAAAAACAAAAACTCACTGAGATTTTGGTAAGAAAATTAACCCTTGCCCCACCTGGGACAAACTCACATTTTTTTGCCAAATAGTGGACGTTATTGTTTTCTGCTTGTACTTTAATTTTGTGGTTCGCCAAATTTTAGCATGCAAACTGTTGCAAAATTTCCTATATATGAGCCGAATTGCCGCATATCCTTGTCTAATATACACCCTTTACTTATTTTGCCGCATATGTGCCCAGCATAATTTGACCCCAAAAAATGGGAACCAAATAGGTTCCAGTACAATTTCTTCCCAACTGAATCCAGGAACCGGTTATGTTAGCCAGTAAAATTACATCATATACTCAAACCTAAGGCATAAGGAATATTTGTAGTCATATAATTAGTGCACCACAATCAACAGACCAAAAGGGAGATTTGTCCTAGATATACTCCCTCCGTCCCATAATATAAGAACGTTCAAAAACGTTCTTATATTACGGGACGGAGGGAGTAGATCATTATTATGCTGGGTACACAACCAAGTCTTATGCCATTTACCTTTCCCTGAAATAATGATGAGAAACATTTATCCGCTGAAGAATGGCAGCAAAAGAAAGGGTAAACAGCAATATACTACTGCATGTAGTGACTTGCTGAAAAACAAGGATACTTCATGGAAATAATGAGGCTCCTCACTTGGAACTGAACAGGTTGGAAGAACCGAATAAGTATAGTACTCCCTCCGTAAACTAATATAAGAGCGTTTAGATCACTACTTTAGTTATCTAAACGCTCTTATATTAGTTTACAGAGGGAGTATCATGCTACTGATGTTGATCTGGTTCAAACATATGCTGTATGATCTGGGCTGTATTTCTAATAGAAAACGAAGGGGCCTGCAGATTACTAAGGCCCCAAATAAAAACCCAGGGTAAGAAACACACTGGGACTTAGCCAAATTTCAAGTTTTACAGTAGGAAATAAATCACTTTCTGATTTTGTAAGGAAAATGAACACACTGTGCATGCTGTAACTAGAAGGTCTTCAAATGTAGTACTAACATTTGTGTGTGAGATCATAAAAATATGAATGTGATTGTTAGTGACATTGGAATGACATATATCAACAGTACTAGGTTGACCATTTGCAGCAATGAAAAAGTAGCACTTAAGGTGGATACTTTTGTGTAGAAAAGGATAGTTGAGTTTTCTAAACAAGCACAAATTCTTGACTGAAACAGAAGTAACTTTTCAGCACAAACATTGCATTGTTGACTGAAACTGGAACGACATCCATACTTTCTCAGAGAAAACATAATGCAACTGGAACAATCTAGGTAGCATCCACAATCTTTCCCAGTTACATGTTTTGGCAATTAACTATTTTTGCATGACATCCAATGCATGTTCGGAATCACAAAGGAATAGTAGACCATAAATGTAGCGGCACATCCAATTTAAGGACCAGACAAAATACAGTGCGATCTTCGAGCATCAACCTAAGTAAAAGACATTAGATTCCTTAGGTATACAATCAACCTTGTCTGCAAAGTCAATGGGATGAGTCACAGATAAACCATTGACATGCTTATTCTGAAAGATCGTCATCTATTCATCTTCATTTACCAAATAACAGTTAAAAGGGATCGGCAGTTGACAAATCATGGGCATCCAAAGACGACCCATAATCATTTTGTATGAATTCCAATTGAGCGCCCCGAGAAGCTCTATTTTCCATTTCTAGCAGCCTGTATTGATCAGCCACCCATTGTTTGTTGATCCTATGACTGACTCCAAATTTGAGTTCCTTGAGCACTTTTGCGTTCAAAATAAAGAACTTGGCAAAGCCAACATCTTGCTCACTGCCCTCATAATTTTTCAATACCAGTTTTTTTAGATGGGTATCAAGGCCTTTGACCGGATCTAGTGGGTCATACTGACGTGCATTTTTCATACCTATGTTCAAGTATTTCTCCCACTGGAAAAGTAAAGAAGAGGCATGTTAAAGTAAATCTTAACTAGACTAGATTATATATCCAACAGATTATTGTCTCTGCCAAATCAAATATTTATTTTGACATTTGAAAGAAAGCAAGGATGAGTATACTCACAATGACATGAAGCTTTTCCAAGCACGGGAAGCATCTTAAGACGTCAATAACAGCATTCAAATCAGGGACCGGGAACTCGAGAGCCAGAACCTTCACTGTGGCTATCGTATTATTCCTCTGAACAAAAGAATGAGCATAAAACAAAAGAATGAATATTAAAATGTAATGATGCTGCATGTAAGAGTTAAGATGATTATGGTGTTGCTACCTGGAAGACTACATTAGCAATCTCAGTTTGGGAGATGCGGGGAGACAAAAGGCCCAGTATCTCCAGTTTAGGTGCCTTGATTATCCGAATAGTCTCACGCCCTTCGCGCGGACAAGGTAGTAGCAGCCTTTCAAGGAGAGGTGCGTCTTCAATGAACAATTCTCCTTTGGCTGCAAAACAAGCGCAGAGGCTCACACTCCTAAGAGTTGCCGAGCTAATGCGCAAGCAATTCGTATCACAAATTTCCTGCAATTCAAGCGACTCCAACAGATGGCAGGCAGAGAGCACCCCATGGAAGACATCCTGGCAGATGGAAACGCGCCGCAGGTTGAGCTGCTTGAGCAACGGAAAACTAAGCGAATGAGTGATCTCCTTTGGGAATTTGCAGAAGCCGATTGTGGCCACGAGGAGAGTTGGTGCTAAGCAGAACACTGATGAGGGCAGCGGATAAAGCTTCTCATGTACATAGTCCAAGAGGTCGAAGCTGATGTCGAGCTCCTTAAGGTTTCTGAGGGCTCGGGAGTGGAACCAGTTCTCGATCTGAGCGGATTCCTCGGCGTGCCTTTTTTTCGCTTTGTGGAGGCGGACGAGGCTGAAGACAAAACGGCGGGCAGGTCCAGGGTGGTCGGAGAGGATCCTGGAGACGACGGAGAGGCTCTTGAACTGTTTGGAGCAGAGGTGGTAGGAGGCGTGGAGGTTGAGAGGCGCTAAGCGCCAGAGAGGGCGCCATCTGCGAGCGATGGCCTGCGTGCGGGCGCCGTCTTTGGTGGGGAGGAGGGAGATGATGGTGCCGAGGATGTCATCGGGGAGTTTGCTGATGAGATCGCCATGGCTGATGAGATCCCCGTCGCTGACAAGCTTATCCTCGCGGATCCGCTTCCGGGGCCTGCGCCCGGCGGTTCCGGCGGAAGCGAGCCTCTTGGGTGCGGGCGCCGCCACCTGAGCCTCCGCCTCCGTCTTCCTGACCGCGGGTATCGCCGCCACCGTCCTGTTCATGTCCGGCCGTGGGAACAGGGGATTTGGGTGGTGCGGCTCTGCTGGGACGGAATGGGGGGAATGGGAACGAAACGCAGCATAAGGGCCCTCTCCTGCTCACCTTGTTGGGCTGGACTGGGCCTGGGTGTTTCTTAACCAAACAAAATTGGTATTTTTAATTTGGCTGTATGGCCATCGTTTTGGATTGAAATTGTGATTTCTTTCACATTACATTCGAGTTTTTTTTGCGAATCAACCTGTGGTTGAGATGGTTTGGTGGACAGTGGTATCCCCAATCCACCAGGGTTTAAATCCTGGTGCTCGCATTATTCCTGGATTTATTTCAGGATTTCCGGCGATGTGCTTTCAGTGAGAGGGGACGTTCCCGTCGACGACAAGGCGCCTACGTGGCTTCGTAAATCTCAAGATGATATGCCGGCTCAGTCTTTCGGAGGTGCTCATAGGGGTAGGATGTGCGTGTGTGCGTTCATAGGGGTGAGTGTATGCGCGTGTATATGAGCGCTTGTGTCTGTACTGATGCTTAAAAAAAACTCGAGTTTTCCCCCCTTTTTTGCGGGGGAAATAGATTCGATTTCAGATAGCGCTGATACTGATAACATATATTGTATTTTGGTGCGAACATGGATTTACCAGAATCCTTGAAATTATGGTTGCCCATCTAAAAAGAGTGTTACCAAAACTGCGTGAAAATCAGAGTGTTTAGCTAGTGTTTGATTTTTTTTTCTAGTGATTGTGCTTGTATTATTGCATCTATAACTTTTTGCAATCTTTTTGTGCGTACTAGCTGCAAACCCTATCCCGTGCATACCCACTTCTAGATGACGCCACATGCCCTTCCACGGCATCTGCGTTCTCCTCTCCAATACCCGGCTCCTGTCGGTTACGTGGGAGCTCCTCAGAGCAACTCCAACGCAGGTACCCATTTGGTCCGCCACCATTCGTTTGGTTCGGCGCGGACAAAAGTGGAGGCCCAACGCGTCGACCCATTCGCAAGAGTCCGCTTCGCGTCCATGCGGACCCATTTGCGGCCCAAATTTACGCCAGAAATGCGTCGGTGCGGACATGAAGCGGGCGCCTCGCGCTCCTTCTCGGTGTCCGCTGCGTCCCTACCTGGCGGCCGTCCAACTACCACGGTCAGCTTTATTAATGACAACCGTCCACCTCAGGCCCACGCGTCAGCGATGGCGGTCGGCCTTTTTTAA